GCATCTTTGGGGCTAGAATGAAGAGAAGTGGAATCTTGAAATAGAACTCTAAGTATCTCTCTAACATAAAAGATATTTCTATTTGTAAGTTTAATCTTAAAAGAGAAAGTGAAAAAGGAGCATTGCCAAATCAAGAGGATCATTTTTCAAGATTCATTGTTTAATAGGTTCTTCATAGTTAGCAATTTTCTAGACAGTTAATAACAGTGCCCCTTACTAAAATAAAACATTATATTTAATGAAGAAATTCATACATAAGGTTAAACGGATGTTTTCTGTTTATAGCTTTCTGGTGTTCTAGGTTGGTAAGACACACCACTGGAAAATATCCCCAGAGATATTTAAATTTACTTCTCAGTGCTTTTTCAACTGGAAATTGGAACTCCCCACTGACCAGGGAATTTTGGAAATAAATGGGGACACTTTGTATTGTTTTAAAAACCAAGGGGTGCTATTATTAGTAAATGAGTAGGAGACAAAGCTTTTTATTGTAAAATCCAAGACATGCTCTTAAAGACACTGATAAATTCTTGGCCAGATGCCTTCCTTTGGATCCATGATTGCTACATTTCAAGGTGCTGGCCAGAGTTAGCTACTGTTCCTCTCTAGATACTGAACTCCGTTGCGTTGCCTCTTTCCTGCTCTCTTCCTGGTCCATTTCTAAGGCAATGAGAACTCAGACTCTGCTGACTCCAGATTGCCATCTGTCACAGCTCCTAAAAGCCCACGTGGGCATTGATACTTAATCTTTTTATAAATCAATTTCTTGAGATATCCTGGATAACATCTGTGTGTGTGTGTGTGTGTGTGTGTGTGTGTGTGTCTGTGTGAGAGATCCTATATATAACAGCCATCATTTCCACATTTTATTTGTCTCAAATTTAGTTTCCTAGTGATTTAAGTACTCGTTCTAGATTCAAGTAACTAGTTCTTGTTCACTAGTAAGATGAATTAGGCTGTTGAATAAAGAGTTTTGTTTTGGTTTTGGTTTTGTGTTTTTTTTTGTTGGGGTTTTTTTTATGATAACTTTCAGAAAGACAAACTAGTAATTATCGATCTATTTATCTATCTACCTATCTATCTGTCTATAATTGAAGCAGCCCATATATTCTCACCTTGGTGGAGTAGGGTATTCCCGCAACAGTAGCCAAAAGTTACACATGTGATTGTCCATTCAAGTGCTTTTGGTTTTTTCTTGTGAAAAAATATATCCTGAAGACAATATTCCTGAAGAAAGTTCAGTTTAGATTCTGTTATTCCTTAAAATGCAGCATGAAAGAATCATTTGAACTAGGAAAAAATAAGATCAGTATTTCTTGTAACCATGTCAGTCATGAAAGATGTCAGCATGGAGCATGTCTGTATTTAAATGAAAGAAGAAATCATTTAAATTTTTTTTTATTTCCTTGATGACTCAAGATCAGTAGAAATCCAGAGTTGCTATTTTAAACATTCTTCAAAATCACTTATAAATGGAGACAATGACTGAGCACCTAAATTGGATAATGATAGCCCACCCACTGCCACAGCTTTAAGATCTTCCCCAAAAACTTCAGAAGTCACAGGTTGTGAAAATGAAAATTAATTACCTAGAAAATAAATTAGACAGAATTAATGTGACCTCTTAGAAAACCTTTTTTTCCTACAAATTATCAAAATGTCTACTTTCTAGCTTTTAGGGAACACACACACACACAAACACACGCACACACTTAAACCATCCTGAAGTCTTTGAATGAAGGCATTAGGGCAAAGTTTGAGGAACCCTTACTTTCTTCTAGGAAATATTTCACCATTGGCACCCTCCTTCTGACATAAAGAGAATTCTCATCACTTTATTTTATTTCTGGTATTTATGTACCCACATACTTCTGAGTGTTTTTGTGTATTACAATTTTGAAAATACTACACTTTGCTATATTTTTTTTTCCTTTGCAATTTTACATTCTTTACCTCATTGGAGGTGGATGGAGTAAAGAACAGGAAACTAATTAAAGTATGTATACATATAAATATAGAAAAAGTATGTATATTCACACACATATACATACACACACATATATTTATAAAGTAATTAAACCATATTTATTTATATTCTTCATGATTAAAGAAAGCTATAGCAACACTCTCCTGGCCCATATTTTCAATTAAATATATAGTCAATCTTTATACTTGTTGGATTATTTGGCACTTCCAAACATTTATTTTTAGCATTTTCTTTCTTTTTTTCCTATGGTATTTCTCGAGATTTTATCATAATTTAACATTTATATGTAAAGTAATGCTGACATCTTATATGACATGTTGTGCTGCTGACCCCATGCACTGCTCCATAAGAGAAATATGGGGGCCAGTGGGGGGCTGTTCCTCCTATTAAGAGTTAGATCCTTGAGACCTGAAGGAAGGTTGCTATGAGTCGAGCTCTACTTAATGACACTGGGTTTGATTTTTGATTGTTTGTTTTTACATTAATTTGTTATGCATCAGAGAGTTGGACAATGACTAGGGAAGATAGGAGAATTGACTTTTTGAGCTGTGGTGCTGGAGAAGAGTATTGAGGGTATCATGGACTGCCAAGAAAACAAACAAATTCATCCGTGAAAGGGTTTAAACAGGGTGGCTCGTTGAAGGAAAGGATTCTGGGGCTTCGCCTGACATACTTTGGACATGTTGTAAGGAGGGACTGGTCCTTGGGAGAGTGGAGGGACGGTGTAGGGGGGAAGACCCTCTATGAGGTGGATTGATTCAGTGACTGGGGTAATCGGGATGGGAGTGTCAGAGACAGTGCGATTGGCACAGGACAGAACAGAGTATAGGGCTGTTGTACATAGGTTCGCTATGAGTCACAAGCGACTCGATGGCACATAACAACAACAACGATTTATAAAGCATCTTTAATATGCAAAAGTTTGGTGTGTGAGATTACTCCTAGTATGAATAGTGCTTCTTTTCTTATTGTCAAGGAGTTTATAGTGTGTTCAGGGGCTTTTTGCAGAGTCAGTATCTGTTTATATTGCCACACCAAATTTACTGGTGGTCACAAGGGGAGAATGGAGAAGATGGAACCAGGAAGAATCATCTCCATCTTCTCTTCTTCTAAAACAGACCTTAAGTTTCTGGCTTCTCCAAATCAGTACTCTAGCAACCCTTTATATTACTCTGACTCTTTGCATGACCGTTCCCTTCCTCAGTACCCCACCCCCTCCCCCACACCCCCCTGCACAGCTGAGGAACACCTGCTTCTTCTGTTCATGTCCTTGCTTTGGGCTGATATTCAATTGATTGATGTTTATAACAACCCCATGTAATGATCAGACTATCTCAGGATTTTCTGACCTACAATCTTCATGGGGATGGATGACCAGGTCTTTCTCCTGTGATGATACAGAATAGTTTTGAGCTGTCAACCTTTCTATTAGCCGCCAAGTGCTTGGCTTGTGTATACCCATTGTTATTAAGTCAATTCAAACTCATAGCAACCGCTGTCAGGTTACCTAGGTTGTAAATCTTTATGGAGTTAGATCACTTACCTTTTCTCCTCAGAGCACCAGGTAGTTTCAAACCGCGATCCCTTTGGTTAGCAGTGTAACATATAAACTCTACACCACTTCATGTCTTCTACAACTTACCAAGACTTAGCCTGTATTATAACTTCCTTAAGCTATTTATTTCACTGTTGTTATTTCCAGGTACCATCAGGTCAGAACCCAGGCATGCCTGCCCCTGGAGCAGGTTTCCAGAGGCAGCATATCATATGGGACGAGGTTGTCCATACCTCTCCTGCAGAGCAACTAGTGGATTCAAATGTGTGGCTTTGGGGTGGCAGCACAGCTCCTTATCACTCAGCCACTAGACTGGCCTATTTTTGCTATTTACAATGACAAGGGAAGATAGAAGGAGAATTGATGCCTTTGAGCTGTGGTGCTGGAGAAGAGTATTGAGGGTACCATGGACTCCTAGGAAAACAAACAGATTCATCCTGGAAAGGGTTAAACCGGGTGGCTCCTTGGAGGCAAGGATTCTGAGGTTCCATCTAACATACTTTGGACATGTTGTAAGGAGGGCCTGGTCCTTGGAGAGGGACATCATGCTTGGGAGGGTGAAGGGACAATGCAGGAGGGGCAGGCCCTCTATGAGGTGGATTGATTCAGTGACTGGGATAATCGGAATGGGTGTATCAGAGACAGTGTTATTGGCACAGGACAGAATAGAGTTTAGGGCTGTTGTACATAGGGTCACTATGAGTCGTAAGTGACTCGAGGGCACATAACAACAACAACAACAACTATATATATATATATGGGGGGAGAGAGAGATGAAATTATTTCATTTATTTGCTAGTTGGCCTTCTTTGCTTAGATGTTTATGTTGAACTCTTTGCTGCATCTTTAAATGTTTTTTAAGTTAGACTTTTCTTTCTATGACATTTGTGAGCTAGCCCTTGCCTATTTGTCCAGCTCCATCACTTCCAGCATCCACTTCAATATGATTAAACTTAGGTGGAAATTAAAATGCTGTTGTTGTTGTTGAGTACTGTAGTGTCAAAACTGACCCATAGCTGACGTTCCAGTGGTTTTTCAGAGGCAGTTAATTGTACGGGAGGAGATTGCTCATCCTTCTCCCATGGAGCGGCTAGTGGCCTCGAACATCTTGCCTTTGAGATTGCCATGCAGTTTCTTGCCACTAGGCCACCAGAGCTCCCTCGAAATTAGAATAGATGGCACATATTTGCCTCAATTCTTAATTACCTGTTGGGCCCTTCTATTCTTTCTGTTCCCTTTTGTCTGAGCCTCCATCATGTTTCTTGTATGCTACTCAAACTTACTTTTGTCTAGCAATTGCCTACTTATCCTTCAAGTCCCATTAAATGGCTTGTGTTTTGCAGAGTTAATATCTAAGTAATACATAATTAATAATTATTAATGCTGTTCATGTATGCATTTTTATTTATTAATTTTCTTGGCAATAGTATTTATTTCTCTTTTTTTCTCCCACTTTAGGGAACTGTTGGTTCAACAGCATCTCCTCCAGTCTCCACGCCTGTCACAGGTCATAAGAGAATGGTCATCCCAAACCAGCCTCCTCTAACTGCTACCAAAAAGTCAACTTTGAAGCCACAGCCTGCCCCCCAGGCTGGACCCATCCCAGTGGCTCCAATTGGCACACTCAAGCCCCAGCCTCAGCCAGTTCCAGCCTCCTACACCACAGCTTCTACACCCTCGAGGCCTGCCTTCAACGTTCAAGTCAAGTCAGCTCAACCCAGCTCTCATTACATGTCTGCCCCTTCATCAGGACAATTTTACGGTGCAGGGCCCCAAAGCTATAGCACTCAGCCAATGCCTGTTTCTGGGCAGTCTCCAGCTCCTTCAAACCGCGGAGGCATGGATTACACATACATCCCCCCACCAGCACCTCAAGTTGATCATGGCTACGGGTATGCTCCCAACAACGCACGTTATTATGATGGCTATTACCCAGCAGCACCTGGATATGGGGCCAGAAATGACTCTGATCCTGCCTATAGTCAACAAGGTCAACAAAATGCCTGGAAGCGTGACCCCGGGTATATCCCTTCTGGAGCAGGGAACCAGAACTCTGCTGGTGTGTATCCAAGTTCCGGTCCCAAGAAGACCTATATCACTGATCCTGTTCCAGCTCCCTGTGCACCACCGCTACAGCCAAAGGTAGGAAACCTATTAGCAGACATAGCCTAGAGCTACCAAGCCTCGCCTGCTGTTTTCAGAAAGCAGACTCTAAGGTGACATCATATGTAGTATTCTTTCACTTTATTAGTGCAATCTCAGCAAAGCATGAGTGAAGCAGAAAAAGGAGATCTGATTTGCAGATATGCTACTAATCAGGCTACTGTTTGATGTCAAGTGCAATTTATTGTACAATTATGAGGGCTAATTTTCAAATGGTCATTGGAACCGTGGTATCTCAGGAATAACTCTTTAGGGGGGAGGAAAAGAAAATAGTTAGTCCTCCAACTTTTCTCTTCTTTTGATCTATGTTCCCTGCTGGGGAAGAAAACCATCCTTGCACTTATTTCCATGTGGCAAGTACACAGGCACAGAACAGGTCTGTAGTATGTCAAGCTTGGTAAAGTGCAAGGAATTCCCAGATATGGAGATTAATGGTTTCTCATGCAGATATGAGGTATCCACTCTCATTTCCTTGTAAGACTAATTGAGACCCAAGCAAACTATTGCCACAGTGGATACTAGAGCAGGAAAAGAGGCCCAAGAATTAGAAGACAGGTCAGGCTAAGGGAGTCTTGAGGCTATGCTGACCCTCTATATGGTTCCTCGTTTAGGAATACGAAGTAGAGAAATGGGATTTATCTGCTAAATTGTTTATCTACATTGATCACTAAGAAAAACTCTAGTCTTGAACCCAGCTAAGCAGGTTGTTGTTGTTGTTGTTTTAAAAAAATTATTATTCATTTCAATTAAAATTTATAGAGCTAGCTAAGCAGTTTTAAACAATTCTTTCTGAATGACAGACAGCTCTGTTGTTTCAGTGTCAACACAGAGGCCTTTAAAGCCAACACTTTTTACAC